CAAGCAAGCACGCAGGTCCCCCACGATCTGGCCCACTTCCCAGTCGACGCCACGTCACCAAACCGAAGATGCCACATCCATCGCTATTATTCATTATTTTTATTATTATTATGATTATTAAACGGTACGAGGGCTCTAGGAGGCGAGTGATGATGTCATCACTTGCGACCATCGCAGGTCACTCCCAACGCCGCTCGAATCCCGCCCCAGTCCACGTGTCGGCAGCTGAGGTCACAGCTCCCTACTGTTTATGTCAGGGATGACGTGGGGGGGAAGCAACTCGGGTCCCGCTTCCCATGACAACAAATAATGATCCCACTCATTGATAATACACGTGGCGAGGAATCAGTGGGTCACGACAGAGGGCCGTATAAATGTACCGGTAACCGCCACCGAAAGTAGGGGGGGGGGGGGAGAAAAGTTGGTGTGGATCATCGGGATCGCAGCCACGTTGCTGGAGATTTGATCATCGGGGGGATGGGTAAAGTTCGGAGTATCGGTCGGTCGAATCTGATACAATCGATACAAACTGGTATAAACTGATTGTACCCCGATCGAACTGTATCATTTGTTAAACCAGTACAACGATTTCGATAAACTTGAAACAGCGAGTTCAATTTGATGGGTTGCGGCGCTTCACTGGAAACTTCCTTTTTTTTCTCGGTTTTGGTGGATGAGTGATTCCTCTTGAATCTTGATGCATCCTTATCCTCGTAGAAGCAATGACACGTCAACCGTTTGGGGGAAGAAAAAAAACTTACCCAAAGAAAATATGAGTTTAATTGATGGCCAAGAAAATTATGGGTAGTGTGTGTATTTTATTGTATGGTTGAACAAGAAAAGTAAGGAGATGGGAGCATGAATGTGGGCGTGCACGGTTTGTCGTGATGCAAACTTGTTTCTGCTGAATTGGTAGCCTTCGTGTCAAGATCACTCTTCATGGCATATTCCTTGCTTTTTTAGAGCATTCATATTGTGTTCACATTTTTTCTCATGGCTAAATATCTGCTTGTGTTGTTTGCTTGGAATGCAAATGCACTATAACCGTTAGTTTCACAATCTTTATGACTTTAGCGGTATACAACGATTGAACCATAAGTAAACAACAATTTTACTACAAATTATTCTGTTATTGAAATTTTTGGTACAACATCCGATACGATTTCATCTCTAAAAAATAAGTTAAAAAAATACAAAAGAAAAAGGACCCTTTTGGTGATTGCGTGTAGTGCTCTATCTCAGATGCATGCTCTTCCTAAATTTGGGAAAACTTTGAATTATGTGAGGGAGGCTACCAATATTTCCTTCGTCTATCCACAAATTATGAGCGAGCAGGGCATATTTGTCTGGTCACATTTGCTTCGGTTCTCTTCTTTCATTGATTATCCCCTCATTTTTTTTTTTTTTTTAACTTGAAAATTGGGAAACAAGCAAGAACCTTCGTCCTGGATAAGCACTGTAAAAAAAAAAGTGTGCTGATATATATCACCATTAATGGAAAAGAAAATTCAAACTAGTGTGTAGCCGTCAACCATTTCATTAATTATTATCTCCTTTTTTGCCATTCCAATTTTTGCCAATGGCAATGGGTCAATACTCAAGTGCATGAACTAGTAATAATTGTCGTAATTATCTCTTGAAATTCAAACCTTCCCTTCGTCGTAATTGTCGTCTGTGTTTGAAGCACGTGCTTTATATAATTGGTGCGGTAAGGTTACACACTCCACCGGTAAATATTACGCGCCGCCAGTAAAATTTTCTGCCTTTTTTACCACTAAGATTAAAGTGGATTTTATTTAATCAGTCGGCATTTCATTTTTGTTGTATTTTGCAAAAAGGCACACCACACCCGCGCGGCCATATCCTCCGGGCGGCTGCTAGTGGCGCCGGATCACCGAGAAAGAGACAAAAGTCACCACTGGACGTGGCTCGATCTCCTTGCTGACGTGTCCACCTCATCCACCGTTTAACTGTCGGCTCACCACCCAAGGAACAACAACAGACCCTACCAGAAAAAAAAAAGAAAAAAAAAATCTAACCTAGAAAAGATCAGCAACGTGTCCGGGAAGACCCAAATACACCTCTGGCTGGGAAGATATTCGATTAGTCGGTTTAACGGTTACATGATGAACTCGTCGATAATCAATAGGTAATCGTTCAGTTTTACAGTTAACCTTTATAAGTTAGCGGTGCAATTATCAATAGACTGCATTAATGGTTTCCGGTGTCTAAATATCATTTGTTATCAGTCTTTTTTGTTTTGTTATCAGTCGGTTAACGATCTTTTTGTGACTAACTGAATATAAACATGTATATTTTTCTCCTTAAAGATGGCAATGTCCCTCCCAGAAAACTCTCTGACTTCAAACAAACAATATTATATTTCCTCCAATCTCCTACGAGGGTGAACCAAAAAATTGAAAGAGGCAAAGAGCATCGTCGATTTTTTGAATTGAAATGAAGGTATCAAGATTAGATTGAGAAAATTGACTTACGCCGGAGAAGAGATAACAAAGATTACACCCCAATTTCTTCCAGTAATAGTTTCCCTCACCCAATTCTCATCCATTACCCTTCCTGTTCCTCTCTTCGCTTTCTTCTCAATCCCAAACGGAACAACAAGGAAAATTGAAATCAATCATGGGGAAAAAAGGAAAGTAAACAACTACGAAATGCACTATTGACAAAAAGAGGTTTTCTCTTGGTTCGGCTACTAATCGACTATTGTGGTCTAACCTTGCCGACCCTAGACGGATCCTCTTCTATGGGGTAGGGGGTGGCCAAGTGGATGGTTGATCAGCAATTTGACATCAATCCCGCAAATAATCCGAATGATGTGGGTGGGTGGGTGGGTGATTGATCTGGATGGAATGTGGGTCGATAAATTTTGAGTCACACTTATTCGACTAGTGGGTGGATTGTCGGTCACTGAATGGCTCATCAGTCATAATCCACTTTTACATGACAAATAGTTATTTATTTTTCATACTATCAAATAATCATTATATTTTCAAACCGTTACATACTCTAACCACAGGCCTCTAAAATCATGTTTTTTTTTAATTACTGCTATGGGTTACTATGTTGTCTAATGTCTATAAGCTATTGGGATGCATATTGCGAACAATTAATTGTATCAAATTCACAATAAGAGCTATTTTGTCTACAATTGATTCATAGATTAATGAAATAATTAATAACCTCTGGCGCAGAAGTGAAATCCACATGCCGCAGAAGTGAAATCCGCATGCACGAGGAGCGAGCGATGCTCTGTAGGGATTTGTGGTTACTGACTTTATTTTTTGTGTCAACGAGTATTTCATTAAAAGTGACAAATTAAAAAGTTTGTAAGAGTAAATAAACAAGTTTATATGTCATAAGTATTGGTCAGATCCACTAGACACAAAACGGGAGGTGCTTTCTATTACCATAATCCCCCCGAATTTGCGAGTTTATGATAAATGTTAGTCAATCTGTCTAATAGCTAATTGAAGAATCGCTTTTATACGTTCCCCACAACTTAATTGCACCTTGAAAGGTGGAGAATGAGGAAGACTAAAGTGTTACAAATTATTTTAATTTCCAAATTCATGATAACTTTCTCATATATTTGTAATCCTCGCCCACAATGTAACTCTGTTGTATGTTGATTTTATCCGTGAATTCATCTTCTCATACAACGTGCGGAAATGTTGTTTGATGCATTCTATCTCTATTTAAACCGACTCACCAATAATGTGGCCCCGTCAATATATATGAATTATCGATAAATTCATCTTCTAATACGAACAATCGAACATCCAAAAAATGAAAAAATGGTGTTTGATGCTTTCTATCTCTATCTAATACCTACATGTATTGTCAATTATGAATTTATGCCACCAATGACAAATTACTTTTGGTTGGGAGTAGGGTTGATTAATGGTCTCTGTTCACACAAATATAGGTTTAGGGACCATCTCTTTTTTCAGTGCGACTTCTCCAAGTGTGTTCTCCTTACTTCTCTTCTTTGTAGGTTTTGTGTAGAAGATGATTCACCAACTTACACACCTTAAGCTCTATTTTACTTGTATATATTTCCAGCATGTTTCTGTATAGTTATCTAGGGATGTGCATGTATGGGCATTTTGGACTCAAATTGAACCACCCATTTATTAACGAGTTGATATATTTATAATCCGTAATTCACCTACATTCGACATTAGAATGGGTTGGGAGGGTGGAGAATGGTTGTTCAAATCTATAAACTCTTAATTAATTTTTGTAACCCCTCATTTAAGATTTCCGACTGTCCCACGATCCGATCAATACGTAAAAAGTATTATTGAGTTGAAATTGCTCTATCTATCTTTCTTGCTCGTCATGAGATAGCGATTTTGTCATCTGATGTACTATTATAGTCTTGTTAAACTGTAATACTTTTTTAAATTAAGAATTAATATTCTGGCAAGAAAATCGTTGGATTTTTATAATCATAGTGGACAACAAAGTCAAAATAAACTAGAGATAGAATGGCAACACCTTGCTTATGAGTTATGACCCAAAAAAAATACAGTACTTAACTCTTAAGCATACCGAAAGCTCAATAATCTACTACCGCAATTTACTCAGCAACGCCTTTATTATCATTAATTAATTAAGTGGTAATCAATAGTTTATAGTACTTAAACAAAAGGACGAAAGCTGATTGGCTAGTTTAGGATGATCATATTAAATTAGTCAAAACAAATGGGCATGATCAGCCGCGGTGGTCTCACTCAGGTCAGGTCAGGCCTGGGCTGGGCTGGGCTGGAACCGACTGCCGTTTTGGATCCCGCCTCAGTCCAAAATCAGTGGCGTAAGCAGTGACAAAATCGCACCCCATGTGGGGTACGGACAACCCACCCAACCCCACTTCCCCACTTGCCACGTGTCCCGCCTCCTCACCCCACCCTCACTCAATCACCAGAAATATATCATTATTTAAAAAGCGAAAGCTAGGTGTTTAATTTCAACCCAAAAAAAAAAAAAAAAATTACATAGCCATCAGAAACGTTATCACCCACGTGTATTCTAGAAACCACACTTGCCACGTGTCCTCCCTCCCCCTTCCTATAAATTCCCACCTCTCCCTTGCGTTTTAAGTTTCAAGCGCCGTCGCGTAACACTAGCATATTCCGTCTCCTCCCTTCCACCGCCACCGCAGCCGGAGCATCCACAATCAAAAGACAACAGAGAGAAGAAGAAGAAGAAGAAAAAAAAGGAAAGTTCGATTCAGAAGGATAAGGAAATGTCTCCGGCGTTGGATTTACCACCGGGGTTCAGGTTCCACCCCACCGACGACGAGCTCGTCATGCACTACCTCTGCCGCAAGTGCGCCTCCCAGCCGATCTCCGTCCCGATTATCGCCGAAATCGACCTCTACAAGTACGACCCGTGGGATCTCCCAGGTAAATTTCGTTTTTTCTGCCTGCCGGGATGAACGATTTTGGTTTCTTCCATCGGCTAAAATTGATTCGATTTTCAGGTTTGGCTCTGTACGGGGAAAAGGAGTGGTACTTCTTCTCGCCCAGGGACCGGAAATACCCCAACGGATCCCGCCCGAATCGGGCAGCCGGAACCGGTTATTGGAAGGCCACCGGGGCCGATAAGCCGATTGGAGTGCCGAGACCCGTCGGAATCAAGAAGGCGCTCGTGTTCTACGCCGGGAAAGCCCCCAAGGGCGAGAAGACCAACTGGATTATGCACGAGTACCGGCTCGCCGACGTCGATCGTTCCGCAAGGAAGAAGAACAGCCTAAGGGTACTTCCGCCATTTCCCTCTTCGTTTTCTTTGAGCCTGAGCCACAAAAAAAGACTGCAGAAGATGAAATTCAAACGATTCAGATGATTAAATTGACAGTTTTAACCCCCCTTTTCCCGTTTCTGATTAAAATTTCTGATTGGCTTTGCAGCTGGACGATTGGGTGTTGTGCCGGATCTACAACAAGAAAGGCGCGATTGAGAAGCAGACGGGAGGGCAAATGGCCAGCCGGAGAGCAGAATCGACGGACACGATCGAGGACAGGAAACCGGTTCTGATGGCGGCGCCGCCTCCCCTGCCAGCCCCGGTGACGACGGGCCACCGGCCGGCCAACAACAACAACAACAGCGATTATATGTACTTCGAGACGTCGGACTCGGTGCCGCGGCTGCACACGGAGTCGAGCTGCTCGGAGCGCGTGGTGTCGCCGGAGTTCACGAGCAGCGAGGTGCAGAGCGAGCCGAGCTGGAGGGAGTGGGGGAGCAGCGGCGGCGGTGGAGGGGTGGGCAATGACCAAAATACCCTCGACCTCGGTGGGTTCAATTACATGGACGCCGCGTTGGAGAGCGAGCTGGCGTCGCAGTTCCAGGCTCCGGTGGGGAGCAATCAGATGTCGCCGCTGCAGGATATGTTCATGTACCTGCAGAGACCATTTTGAACGGAGGGGCAATTTAGTCTTTTGTCATCATCGTCAGGGATCGGGGGAAATCCAACGGTCACACGAGACTGAAAGTCCATGAGTGTGCGCGGTTGGTGTGCTGTTCCGATCGGACGGCGGAGGATGTATTGAATCTCCGCCGTCGGATTCGGGAGACGGGATGTATAGAAAAAAATAGGCGAAGGGGAGTAACATTTGTGTTGTGCACATATGTGATAGGAGTTACAGTGAAGAGAAGATGTCAAATCTTCTTGGGGGGGTTTTATCGTTTGGAGTTAAATCATATATTTACCAATTTAATGATCCGTAATGAACCTTACCTGTGATTCAGAAATTTCCTCTCCTCTTTGTAATTTGCCTTCCTTTTTCCCCTTTGTAATGAAAATATGATTCGTTCAAATCTTATCTTCGCTTTCTGTTCTGGGGTTCGGCATTCATTCAGTACTTTCGGCCTGATCGATTACACGATAGGATTTCTATAGCATTTGTAGTTCGATAATCGTTGTGGAGACCGGAGACGGAAGCTTGTGAGAGGCTATTGTTGAGGGTATGACAAAAAAAGGAAGCCTGGTAAAAGGCCATGAGGCCCAAACAGCCTCCATCATAGGGATGGGCCATTGAGAAAAGCCCATCAGGCTGAGCCCAAGCGGAAATGGGGAATCCCGAAGGAGAAATTTGGAGAAGTCTGGAATCCGGAAGGAGAAATTTGGAGAAGTCCAAAGAAGTACAAATTGTCGGTGGTCCCATGGGGGAAGCGCTTACTACGTGTTAGAGGACTGACAATTTGGTCGGGGCGCCTAGCCCGACCAAAGTACGAAGCATTTAATGATGTGTTGACGTGGAGCTGGTTGGAAAGAGCCTGGTCCAAGATGGGGTAAGTATAAATAATGCTAGTAGGTGTGCACGTTGGATTTTCTCACAAGAAATTGGGACAAAACACTTTTCTCTCTAGGATATTAACTAATTTGAGCGTCGGAGGATTAACGGGCCCAGGCGCCTGGAAGTTATAATATTATAACTTTGAAAGAGGAAGTTTGGCTTTACCATTACATGTCATGTTCTATTTCAAACTTCCTCTCTCTCTTTTTCGACTCTTAGACAGACACGTGGCCAGATTTTGGTGGGGTGTTGAAAGGGATCTATCCCGTGTGAGCATAATGGCATGGCAGAATATGTGCCGGAGTAAGCATGATGGTGGTATGAGGTTTCGCTGTTTTGAACATTTCAATCAATCTCTGTCGGCTAAGATTGGCTGACGAATCCTTATCGAACCTCACTCTCTCTTTGCCCAGGTCTATAAAAGGAAATATTTTCCTAAGGAACTTTCTTTGAAGCCACTGCGGGGTTTTGACCGTCGTGGGGGTGGCAGAGTATCATTTTTGATCTCCAGCTATTGGTTAAGGGCCTACGCTGGCAAGTTGGGAATGATAGCTTGGCTCCCTGATTCACTCTTCTTGGATTCCTCGGCTTCACCCCCATGCCCCAGTATATAATCCTCCAGTGTTACTAGAGACTGGTGACCCTTGGATAAACAAGAAGGGCGGTGGCGTTCCTTGGCAAGTTGGATGGATAGGTCGAGTTGGATCTGCCTGTGGGAAGTCAATATTCCACCAAAATTGAAGGTATTTTTATGGCAAATTTGCCATCGAATCCTTCCTACGATGGAAGCCCTATTTGAAAAGAAGGTCTCGATGCTTCCCAGATGCCCGGTTTGTTCGGTCAAATAAAAAATAATGGAGCACTTGTTTCTTGATTGCTCGGTCGCTAGGGCCTTATAGGACCATTCAGGACTCGAGTATGTTGGCCGCCTCGTCATGCGTTCCCTCATTTTCTTAAAAAAACTGATGTTGCTGATACACCAACCTCAATTATTTATGGTCATTGTCGCGGTACTCTGGAGAATCTGGCATTCACGTAATTGAGTTGTTTTTTAGGACAAGCAATTTGGGATCGCTGCGTTGACGCGCCAGTTTCACCAGCAGTATCAGGAGTGGATCAGTTTGCCAACTGACCGGATATAGTGTATAGCCATCCCACTAGCTCAGTCACTGGGTGCGGGCACCATTCATCGGTGATCTGTATATGGGATGGAGATACTAAATGTGGATCCCACTCAGTTGGAGGAATGTTTATCATTGAATCAAGGGGAGGGGGCACTCCTCTTGGCAAGAGGGATACAGTTTTCTGTTATTGATGATCCTATGGTGGTCGAGCTGCTCGTTCTTTGGGAGACTTTTCTCTTGTGCCTAGCGAATGGGTTTACGGAGGCGAGGTTTGAGGGGATGCCAAAGTGGTCGTTGACAAAATCAATCAGGTTGATACTTGCGATAATCGGGTAGAGCCATTCTTGAGGAGGTTTGGCGTTTGTTGGCCAGTCGTCTGGGGCTTAATGTGAGATTTGTAGGTCGGAGTAGAAATATGATAGCTCATGTGGTGGCTAGAAACATCCGTGCATTGTACCCCACTACGTATCGCTTATTTGATTTTCTGGCCTAGTTAAATTCCAGAATGTAATGATCTTTTGGTCTAGATTAAATTAAAAAAAGGAATTCGTATTATTTCCTTTCCTTGGCCTTACTCCATGCGTTCTCTGCTCTCTATTGGTACAAGGCCACCATCCATCCAATCCCTTCATTTCCCACTCAGTAGGAGACCCTTCCTTTTACGAAAAAACAATAAATTATAGAAAACGAAAATCAACCACAAAGAAAAATAGAAAGAAAAAGAAAATGGATTAGTAAAAACGAGAGAAAGAAAAATTGAAGAAAGAACTTAACACGAGAAGGAAAAAAAAAATGAATTGAAAGAAAAGGGAAAGCAAAATGAGCGAGTCAGACTGATATCTTCTGTAACCCGCCATTGATTCATCCTCCAGCTTTTCTCTACTGTCTATGGACAACCTCTTTCAGATATCTTCTTCTCTCATATCTTATTTCCCCTTTCGCTCGCCAATTGTGAAGGCCTACGTGCAACAACACATGTAGAGATTTTCATACATTAGGTAATTCCTATATAAATCATTCTCTGATTTGTGTGAATTTTGGATATGAGAAGTTTACCCAAGAGGGGAAGAAAAATGGTGGTAGAACAATTGTGTTTATTAATTTGCCCTAGATTTCATTAATATATATATATATCTTTTGATTCGATCTCACTGCTAATTCAATTATAGTATAATTGTCGCGGACTAGAAATTTTCACGTTTGATTGCATATGAATATATCTTGTTCTCAAGTTAGCGATGAGGTTGTGGTAGAAAATTGTTTTGTGTGCTATTAGAAACAAAGTTGTTTAATCTTTCAATTTTTTGTAGGTACGCAGAAGGGGATAAATTTTGGCATAAGAAGGTTGTACCGAATCATCAATTTTGGATCAGATGTCGAGATCTCTCTTCTCTAAGTTGCACCAGGCTATCAATCCAAATGCTTCTCCAACTAGGTTACCATCTAGCTAAAATAGTATATTGATTGTTATTGTTGTATGATCTGCTCTAATAATATATTGCTTTTACAAATTTTCAATGCAGGGAATCAAATGGAGAGGCAACTCCCGAAAATGCAATGGATACGGTGTCTACCTTCATTGAGAAACTGCACGCCAAAGTGTCTTCTCACCATGAAAAGGAACTCATTACTGCGCGAGTCCTCGGAATCGCCAAAGCGCAGAAGGAGGCAAGGACCGTCATTGGTTCGCACGCTCAAGCGATGCCATTGTTCGTATCGATTCTGCGAAACGGTACTGACGGTGCCAAGCTGAATGTAGCTGCAACACTGAGTGTTATGTCAAAAGATGATGACTTGAGGGTCAAGGTACTGCTTGGTGGGTGCATCCCGCCGTTGCTATCGCTTCTGAAATCAGAATCACCTGAAGCGAGGAAGGCTGCAGCGGAATCCATATATGAAGTCTCCTCGGGTTGGCCTTCAGACGATCACATTGGCATGAAAATTTTCTTGACAGAGAGTGTGGTGCCAACTCTATGGGACCAGCTCGATCCGAAGAACAAACAAGACAGAGTGGTACAAGGGTTTGTGGTCGGAGCACTGAGAAATCTTTCCAGCATCAAAGACTCGTGTTGGAGAACGATACTCGAGGATGGAGGAGCGAAAATCATCATCAAACTTCTGTCTTCTGATAACAGCTTTGCACAATCAAATGCTGCTTCTCTCTTGGCAAGCTTGATGCTAACTTTTAGCGACATTATCGAGAAATTCATTGATGTTGGAATAGTTAAAACTCTGCTGAAAATGTTGGAACAGAAAAATGATATATCTGTGAATGCTAGTGCTGCCGAGGCCTTGGACGCTCTAACCGCAAAGTCTGAAGATGTTAGAAAGGATGTTGTGGATGCAAATGGTGTAAATATTCTCATTGCTTCTATAGTTGCTCCAGCATCAAAAGATGGTATGCAAGAGGATTCCATTCTGCATGCCTTACAGACCCATGCGACACGAGCTCTAGCGAATATCTACGGTGGGATGCAAGCTTTACTGCTACATCTGGGAAAACTCTCACAGTCGCCTCGACTATCTGCACCAGTTGCTGATATACTTGGAGCCCTTGCTTATGCTTTGATGATCTATGAGAATGAGTCTAATACTTCAGATGAAGAGGAACCCTTTGATGCAACAAAGGTAGAGGACATACTGATCAAACTATTGAAGCCTCGTGACACTAAGTTATTCCAAGAGCGTGTTCTCAAAGCAATGGCTAGCCTATATGGCAATGTCCACCTCAAAAAATGGTTGAATAATGCAGATGCGAAGAAAATCCTCACCTTACTTGTGATAATGGCTACGACGGGGGATGAGCAAGAATCTCTGATATCTTCTCTAATCAAGCTATGTCGTAACAAGATGGGCATATGGGAATCGATTGGAAAGAGAGGAGGAATTCAGATGCTCATCTCGTTACTCGGGTTATCTAGCGAACAACATCAGGAGTGTGCAGTTGAACTGCTGGTAATCCTGACTGAACAAGAGGATGAGAGCAAGTGGGCTATAACAGCTGCTGGTGGGATTCCACCACTGGTACAGTTACTAGATATTGGAACCCAGAAGGCCAAGGAAGACGCAGCTCTTGTCCTCTGGAACTTGTGTTGTCATAGTGAGGATATTCATGAATGCATTGAAAGTGCAGGAGCCATCCCAGCTTTCATATGGCTACTTAAAACTGGTGGACCAAAAGCTCAAGAAACCTCCACTATGGCTCTTTTAAGGCTTGTTAGAAGCGCAGATTCTTCCACGATCAATCTACTATTACCAATGCTAGATGACGAGTCCATAGATTCGAAGTCTCACATCATCAAGGTTCTGGGCCATGTGCTCACATTAGCATCAGAGAAGGATATTGGGAATTTAGAATCTCCTGCTAGTAAAGCCGTAAGATCTCTTGTTCAGGTTCTTACCTCTCCAAATCGAGAAACACGAGAGTATGCTGCATATATTCTTGCTGACCTATTCACCACACGACAAGATATCTGCCACAGCTTTTCGACTAGTGAGATTGTGGATCCCTGCAAGAAGATCTTAAATGGGAACAACACAGAGTCTGTCGTGAAACAACTAGCACAAGCATTAGCTGCATTGTCTCGTCCAAAGAAGACCAAGTCGAGCAAGAAAATGGCTCACATCACGCAAACAGATGTCATGCCTCTCATTGACTTAGCCAAAACTTCTCCGATGGAGAGTGCAGAATCCGCAGTTGCTGCACTGGCAAATATTCTCTCCGACCCTCATCTTGCTGCCGAAGCATTAGTGGAAGATGTTGTTTCAGGTTTGACAAGAGTTCTTGGGGAAGGGAGTTTACAAGGGAAGAAGAGTGCATCTCAGGCACTTCATCAACTTCTGAAGCATTTCCCTGTAAGTGAGGTGATTAGTGGGAGTGCTCAGTGTCGTTTTGTGGTTGTATCGGTGCTCGAGTCACTAAACTCAATGGAGAAGAGTGGGACTGATGTGACTGATGGTTTAGAAGTGGTTTCACTCTTGACAAGGACGAAGCAAGGTGCAAACTTAGAATACCAACCATGGGCTGCGCTAGTTGAAGTTCCATCAAGCTTAGAGCCTCTAGTTTATTGTTTGGCGAAGGGGTCTCCTGTGGTTCAAGATAAGGCAATCGAGATATTGTCCAGACTTTGTGGTGAGCAACCTGTTCTGTTGGGCGATCTGTTGATTGCTAGATCGAGTTCAGTTGCTACTTTGGCCGGCAGAATAACAAACTCGTCGAGCTCAGAAGTGAGAGCGGGCGGGACGGCATTACTCATTTGTGCTGCAAAAGAACACAAACAAAAGTCGTTAGAAGAGATTGATGCATCAGGATACTTGAAGCCCCTCATATATAACTTAGTCAATATGATAAAACACAACTCTCGGTTTTCGGCTGTAGAGATTGAGGTTCAGAGTCCTAGAGGGTTTTACGACAGGTCAATTCGTCGAAGAAGAGAGGAATTCGATATGGTGGATCCAACTACTTTACTGGGAGATACTGCTGCATTGTGGTTATTGGCAATCATATCTTCATTTCGTGCGAAGAACAAGCTCATCACTATGGAAGCTGGTGGGCTCGAGGTTCTCTCCAATAAGCTTTCGTATTATACTTCCCGTCCACAGGCAAGAAACCTCAAAAATTGATCCATCTCTAACTTTTGAACTACTTTTACATTTCTCTGTTTAATTTTTTCCTAGCCTGACAAAAGAATCCATCTTCAATACTCAGACAGAACTTGAGGACAGAGAAGGAATATGGATAAGTGGATTGCTCCTAGCAGTGCTATTCCAGGATGCCAAAGTGGTACTATCTCCTGCATCTATCAGGATTATACCTTCTCTTTCTTACCTGCTGAGGTCCGACAAAATAATCGAGAGATTCTTCGCATCCCAAGCACTTGCGAGTCTCGCTTGCAATGGAACCAAAGGAATAAGCATCTCTATCGCTAACTCTGGTGCCATTACTGGATTAATCCCATTAGTTGGCTCTGATGAATGTGAGATGCCAAATTTAGCCACACTTTCAGAAGAGTTCTCTCTAGAGAAAAACCCAGCTCATCTTGCATTGCAACGCCTCTTTGAGGAAGAAGACGTAAGTGGTGGGGGGCCAACTGCTCATAAGGCTATCCCTTTGTTGGTGGATCTCCTGTGTCCCATTTCTAATAGACTTGGTGCCCTTCCAATTGCTGTAGAGCTTCTGTATCGCATTGCCGAGGGAAGTGATACAAACAAGTTGATCATGACTGAAGCTGGTGCTTTAGAGTCATTAACCAAGTACCTCTCATTAAACCATAGGGACTCGAATGAGGCTTCTATATCCGACCTTTTGAGGGTACTTTTCAAGAAAACAGATCTCATACGACATGAAGTGGCACTCAGTTGTTTGAACCATCTCGTTGCTGTCCTTCGCCTAGGTTGTAGAGATGCTCGATTCAGTGCTGCCAGGGCTCTCCACGAGCTCTTCAATTCTGAGAAGATTAAGACATGTGACCTAGCAAGACAAGCTATTCAGCCCTTGATCGACATGGTCAACGTTGCTGAATCAGAAAACGAGCAACAATCTATACTTTCCACCTTGATCAAGCTTACCTCGGGGAACAACGCTTCAAAAGCTGCTCTATTCATCGACGTAGATGGTAATGCATTAGAGACCATGTATAGAATACTCTCCACTTCTTCTTCATCTCCAGAGCTAAAAGGAAGTGCTGCACTGGTTTGCTATGTACTCTTTAGCAATACAAAGTTCAGAGAAACTCCAATTGCTCACCAGTGCATTGAACCACTTGTATCTCTCATCCAATCTCCATCAGTTTCGGCTATAGAGTCCGCAGTTTGGGCATTCGAGAAGCTACTTGAAGACGACCAACTTGTGGAGCATGTTTCAACAAATGATGAGGTATTGGACCTTCTCATCAGCCTTGTTTCTGGCACAGAGTATCGACTCGTTGAAGGAAGTGTATCAGTGCTGATAAAGCTGGGGAAAGATCGAGTTCACCGAAAACAGGACATGGTGAGAGCAGGAATCTTGGAAAAGTGTCTCGAAATTCTTCCGCGCGCATCAATGCCATGTTGCGCTGCAATTGCTGAATTGTTCCGCATACTGACCAACAGTAGCGCCATAGCAAGGAGTCCAGAAGCCGCAAAGATCGTTGAGCCACTCTTCGATCTCTTGCTTCAGCCAGATTTCGGCTCACAGGGACAGAACAGCGCCTTAAACGCACTCGTCAATATCTTGGAAAAACCGCAATGCCTTACCACATTAAGACTCACACCAAGCCAGACAATCGAGCCACTGATCTCCTTCCTTCAATCATCAACTCAAGAGCTTCAACATGTCGGCACCCAGCTTCTCTCCCATCTCTTGGCACAGGAACACTTCCAGCAAGATATCATGACGAAGAACGCAGTCGTGCCACTCGTGAGGCTTGCCGGAATCGGAATCCTGACACTCCAGCAGACGGCGGTGGCAGCATTGGAGAAAATCTCAACCACCTGGCCACAGGAAGTCGCTGATGCAGGAGGAATTCATGAGATCTCCAAATTGATCGTCCAAGACGATCCCGAACCATCTCTCGAGCTATGGGAAGCGGCAGCTCTAACGCTCTCAAATATTCTCCGGTTCAACGTCGAGTACTACAATAGAGTCCCTCTCCTCGTTCTAGCTCGAATGTTGCAGTCAACATTCGACAGCACGATTAAGGTTGCGCTCAACGCATTGCTCGTTCGCGATCGAGCCGATGAGTCGAGCGCTGAGCAAATGGTGGAAGCTGGAGTTGTCGATGCGCTGTTAGATCTGTTGAGATCTCATCACTGTGAAGAGATCTCCGGGAGGTTGCTTGAAGCTCTGTTTAACAAGGTTAGGGTTCGAGAAATGAAGATTACGAAGTTCGCGATCGCACCTCTAGCGCAGTACCTGCTGGATCCGCAAACGACGTCGGAGACCTGCAAGCTGCTTGCTGCTCTGGCGCTCGGAGATCTGTCGCAGCAAGAAGGTCACGCGAGATCGAGCGATTCGGTGTCGGCTTGTCGAGCGCTGGTCAGCTTGCTGGAAGATCAGCCGTCAGAGGAGATGACGATGGTGGCTGTTTGTGCGCTGCAGAATTTTGTGATGCATAGTCGAACGAATCGGCGAGCGGTGGCGGAAGCCGGCGGGATATTGGTGATCCAGGAACTGCTGATATCGCCTAGTGCTGATGTGGCAGCGCAGGCAGCCGTGCTGATTAAGCTTATGTTTTCGAATCAGTCGCTTCAGGAATACGTTTCCACTGAGCTCGTCAGATCGTTGACAGGTACCAAAAATAAAGTTTACTTCAATTTTGTTAGGTTAAAAATCAGAAGCTTGGCCTCTCTCTTTATCCATTTGCTTTCATCTTCTCAAGCTGCACTGGAGAGGGAGTTCTTGTCCGCAGCAACTATGAACATTCGGATACTGAGAGCCATAAACGTCGTGTTCACCAACTTTGCTAAGCTCCACGCTTCGGAAGCAGCAACGTTATGCATCCCCCATTTGGTAACTGCTCTCAAGTCCGACAATGAGGCGGCTCAAATGTGTGCATTGGACACACTGTGCGTATTGAAGGATTCGTGGTCGGCCATGCCCGTAGATATAGCCAAGTCTCAGGCGATGATGACTGCTGAAGCTGTGCCCGTCCTGCAAAGCCTGTCGAAAGCCTGTCCGCCGGGTACCTACGACAAAGCAGATGCACTGTTGCGCTGTCTGCCCGGATGTTTGACAGTCACCATCAAGCGCGGGAACAACTTGAAGCAGGCGAATGCTTTATGTCAGTTGACTATCGGCAACAGCCCTCAAAGGCAAACCAAGGTAAGAGAGTTTCGGCTTGTTGCACGTTTACTTGAAACGTTCTTCTCCATTGCTTCTATGGCCATTTTGGCTGTATCTTTGTGTGGATTATGACTGCCATACCTTGTTGATCTTTTAGGTGGTAAGCAACAATAGCTCGCCAGAATGGAATGAGTCTTTCACATGGCCATTTGACGTAGCGCCTAGAGGACAGCAGCTCAGCATTGTCTGCAAAAGCAAGGGCACATTTGGCAAGGTAACAAATCCGCATTTCCCCTTCTACAGAAAGCTCTTGCACATTGCTTCGTACGAATAATTGTTGCTTGCGGCGGAAGGCTCGTCTCTCCCTTACCTGCATAACAAGTTCTCTTTTTTTGGTTTTGCCGGATGTGTTGGGGTTGTTGCAGACAACGCTAGGAAGAGTAAGTGTCCGAATCGATAGAGTGGTAACAGACGGAATGTACAATGGAGTTGTGACCCTCACTAACGATGCCACCAAAGACGACACTTCCATAACACTTGAAATTGAGATTGTTTGGGCAAACACGACCTCGGAATAAAAACCACCATAGCTACAAGGAGGGAAATGAGACATAAATATTCTACAGCACCGCATGTAAAGCATTTTTGTTGGGCAATATGATGTACAGATGTATTTATTCAGTATTTTGTAAGTTGCAGCTTAGAATCAATCGGTACATTTTGTAAGGGGTAGGTTTTACTCTCATAAAGGAGTGCGCCCGGCAAGTCACGAATTGATCTTGCGAGCGGTGTATTGTTTATGTAAATGAAAACTTATCTGTACAGGATGAAAGCTCATAAGAGGAGAAAACCTGAATATATTAGAGTAACCAAGATTCAACATCGATCTTTGTTTATCGTGTTCGTGATTAGCAGATGGAACTCCTAGCCAGTACTATTTCTCGAATCAGTCCAGGATAAAAAAAGGAAAACATACCAACTAGTTTACAGTAGGGCTTCATTCAGCTGCTCTACAATCTACATTCAATACTTGTTTGACCTCCAGAAGCAGATTTTCACCCAGGGGCGACGCCTGGGGAAAGGTTAAACAATGGCATTCTACTTTGCCACGGCAACTAGAGCAGATCGCGCTCCGGTGAAAGAAGCAATAAGGGAGCCAAGCTGCAACTTGTCATTGCACCCGAAAGTCAACCGGTACCTGCAATGCAGAGTGCCCATTAATCAGGTAGGAGAGACCAAGAATCTCATGCCCGTTTATTGGCTTTGACGTATAAAAGAAGCATCCACACAACGGGCACAAAGCAAAGCAGGATACATACTCTATGTCAGCCATATCATTGATCAACTTGACCCGTACATCTGATGGCATCTTGATCCTGAAAACAAACCTGTTTCAAGCAAAATGAGTGAAGACCTCGGATCAAATAAATAATAATCAGAATCGTTCAGAAACCAAGCTTATTATTAGCATTTTTGCATTGCACTGACATTGTTACTTCTCTTACTATATCCACCATAGCCAATCCTTTTCGGTTCTTCATTTCAGCAATATCTGCACATCATCAACAGCAAGAAGAAGAAAAAGTTAGCAGCAAAACCCCCCATTGACGTTTTTCATAGAAATGAATCATTCAAATAAAATGATGCGACGCTCCACACAGAAGTCAGGTCACTACGTTTGAAACCATCTGAAAACGGCTCGTTGAGAAGCCAGAAACATATTTGTTCAATGTCTTTAGGCAATGGATTTCCGGTGCAGAGGTACACAGCTTCTTCTGTAATGTGCTGTGAGGCCATATGTGTAGCCTGCACCCATCAAAATGATAGATGAACTGAGCCGTTAACAAAAATGTCAAAAGGAACCAGGGCACATAGTTCATATATTTGACCTTGCAGTCATACAAGTTTATCACTATCTTTCTTGAAATTGTAAAACTAATTGAAAAGCTACCTAAATTACTGGTAAATGAATAAAAAGAAGAATGGGCTTAATTTCCTTTAGAAAATACTAAAACATCGGGAAGTGAAAGCATATCGGAATGCACATGAAAGGACAATATAAAATTCCAAACCTGCAAAATGTTCAAAGCCTTTCTCATGTCACCGCTGCTAAGCCGTACAAGTGCTGCTAAGCCAGTTTCAGTCACATCAAGCCTGATTTGATGGTCAGAAACTTTATGCATAAGTCGAAAAATAATGAAATGTATCAACACAAAAGGACATTATGAAATGGCTTGAAATTGCTCTGGTACTAGTCTCCCCTGCAAATTCATGTAACACTAAAAAGAAGGATAAAGAGGTCACTTGAACAAGCATTTTTCTTCTTCATAACCTAAAGCACTCAATGTCACAGTAATAGGGCGTCCTTCAAGGTAAAAAGTACTAACAAAAGAGAGTTCTATTTCCTTCTATTGATGCAGCAATCTGCTCGCATTCCACACCAACTATGTGAAGCTGTAAATACACTGACAAATTTTTTTGCCAGAGGAAGAAGTAGCTAACTACCTCACATTATTTGCTTCCTAACTGTTTAATCTATGTTCTTATAATTTGATTATTTTTTCCTAAATAAGGAACTTGGAAAGACTAGTCATATGACTCACTTTAAAATTCAAACTAGCCTAGTTCATGGAAAATTTTCCTACCAACATAATATAACTTGCTTTCAATGTTTTACCGAAAATAGGTCCGCTAATGACATCTAAAAATACTTTAACCTCAACTAACGGGATTATAGTGGTAGTACCCACCATTTCCATACATGAACGAGAATCTACCCTAAGAAAAAGGCACCATAAAATCACAAAGCAGAAATCGATATGAACGAAAAGAATTACCAGGCTTACCGTTCAGACTCTATGACGTGTCTCACTCGTCCAGTGACATGAACAGGATCGAGTGGAGCAAATCGAAATCGTGTGCATCGAGATTGTAGTGCCGGAATAATCTTGTTAACATGGTTACAGATGAGTGCAAACCGAGTACTCTTTGTGTATTTTTCAATCACTGTGGAACAACAGGCAAGAAAAGAAAATAAAGTCAGGAAACAAAAACAAGGCCAACCTTGAGCATGATGGATTTTGGTAATTTGTACCTCTGCGCAAGGCGAACTGTGCATCCTTAGTCATGGCATCAGCCTCATCGAGTAAAACCAACTTCACAGATGCCCTAGGACTACAAATAAACAGCAACAAGAAGTTCAGCCAAAACTTCCCACAGCCACAAATAAGTGAACTCAAAGCAGAAGCTAAACTCTAAAGTCAAAGAAACCCTACCTTCTGGACATTTTTCTGTATAACAGACCATAGTAAGTGATTGACTTTAAGATATATGTTCCATTGAGAAACAAACCATGACCTTTTTACCAACCCTTGAGGGCAATTGAGCAAATGAAGGTCGGCTGAATTGGCACCCAAGTGGTCGAGTCAAACACAGAACCCAACAAACACCCCTCTGCATCTATATCCCGTGATTCAAATTTCAAAACCAATGTGAACTCTTCAAAAGTGAACAACCATTCTAGGGCTTTCACTTAAGCAACTATCGTTTGAGCATTTCATTGCTTACGAAATGAATCAAGAGCGAAACCAGGTTATAAAGATTGGGAGCTTGCCAAGCAACTAAAGAGACATGGTAGAACAAAGTACCCGAATGAGAAGCTCTGACTGCTAGCAAAGTCTTGTATCTGCTGCCGCACAACATCAATTCCTCTATCATCCGACGCATTCAGCTCAAGAATCATCTTACGGTATTCAGAGCCGTAGAGCTTCCGCGCCACAGCAAGTATTGTCGACGTTTTCCCCGTACCAGGAGGTCCATACAACAATAGATGCGGCAATTTCTTCTCGTTCGTCAACCTTTCAACTGTTCAACGCAAACAGAAAGTAAACCCTAATGAAACTAAACCCGGAAAAACGAAAATTCCTGGGGAAAGGCAGCTGACAGAGAAGAAGGGAACGAAACCCTAGCTAAAAAAGGAAGTGGGTAACACGAAAAATGATTACTCGTGTCGATAATGTCACGGTGAGCGGCGACATCGTCGAGTGATTGAGGGCGGTACTTCTCGACCCAGGGTGTAGACTTGGGATGGGCAGGAGGAGTGCCGTCGACGACGACGGTTTTGCCTTTGGATGACGAGTTGGGTTTGTTCGGCTTCTCGCCGTTGTGGTCTATGTCCATCGGCGAGCTGACGTCTGCCATCTTTTTCTTCTGCTGCTGCTACCACCGATGTGTAGCGTCGTTGGATCTTTGTGGTGATTTGCTGGCTGCTAGGTGCCCTCGAAGACTGCAATTGTGGAGTGAAAGGAGATGAGTGTGGAGCAGTGAAGGGAAGTGACGCTTTGTGGCGCCAAACAGACTTTTGTAGTTGGAGTTGGACAGCAAGGAAACACAAAGAGCCCTCTTGCTGAAATTAGGCCCGCATAGTCTTAAAAATAGGCCCGCGTAAAAGCCCGCCCTAAAATTTGTGATAAAAAAAATAGTTGTTCGTCGTAACCACACTTTGTGACAATAATAGTCAATTATTAAAGATATACAGATATAATCACTCCATGAAATTTAACGACATCGTGATTAATGCTTATTGGATTAACATTTTCGGTGACTTGGCGACTTTTGTATAAAAAAAAAAGTAACAGGCGGAATTCATGTCTGCCTTGCCTTAACAACGAAGTGAGTCGAGATCCGCCTGTTCAAATACGGGTCGGATTTTATCCACCCCATTGCAGGTCAGATCTGGTAAAATCCACCGAGGCGGAACTGGTTTGCCATCCCTACTCTCTTAATTTCCTCTCCCTAAACGTCGACCTGGTGCAAGTGCAACTTCCAAGGTCAGTTCCCATGGCTCTTAGATCGACTAGGAACCTGAATCATGAAGTTTGAACTTTGTATTATTTTCGGGATGAAAGAGCCAAAGTAACTTTTTTTTTACTGATGAAAGAGCCAAAGTAACACTTATATGGGTATATGATGTTTTCGACCTTGCCAAATAAATTTGGATTGAAATTTCATATTTTTCCTTGTACCAAATAAATTATGGGTGAAGTTGTTCAAAAAATGGAATGAATCTGATTTTCTGCATGATTTCCCTTGCAGAATCATGAACATGAACTGGATCAACCAATGGTTACACTTCCCTTATTCATAGCTTCCGGTGCTACCAGCATCAATCGGAGATATGGGTGCCAACCTCGATGATCGGTAACATCAAACTAGGTAGCATTTGCACATTGAGCCAAATGCGAGTCTACTTCATGATGGAGGCAGATGCACACATATCTAACTACCACATTGTGACAGCGGGTCCTACTAAACCTGGGGGCCACCTGCATTTAATTTGACACCAACAAGGCTTCGCCCCCAGTAGCTTTGTACCTCCGAGAACACCAACAGGCCTCGCTTGGATTCGAACCTGAGATCTGCAACTCCCAAACCTTCACTGTTGCGGCAGCTTTACCGTTAGGCTATCTTACCTTTGGTCTTTTCATTCCTCCTTTCACTTGAACCACATTGATATAAGTACTACTAATAAATATGAATTTGAATTATATTAATATTAATATTAAAAAAGGCACAATATAGAGTATAGACCGTATATGCCTTTTTTTTTTGCAATTCTTTAACTCATATATTGGCATAGGCGGAGGCAGGGGTGTTTGCCCCTGTCCCGGGACAGGGGCAACTTTTGGGGAGGGAAAAAAATAACCCCACATATATTTGTACAGATCGAATTAATCACTTACAAGTAATATAAGGATATTTTAACATTACAACATAACTCATTACTTGTTCATTAATTCACAAAAAATAATTAAATTACATGACACTATCATTTTACAACAGCTCTTTAGGTATTATCACGATATTATGGTGTAAACAATGAATGTATTTTACATTTTTTTCATAATATGAAAACTCGTCCTAGTTATTTATGAAACAATAATTGTATTAGTCAATTTTTTGTTTCTCTGTGAATGAATTATTAAGATATTATTAATTTTAATTATATTTATAAAATATTATATATATTCTGAATAAAGGATAGGGGTAGTTTGAAATCCTGGCTCCGCCACTGTATATTGGTCGTTGTTTGTTTAACATCTGGCCACAATATAATAAATAAACCAACCAATAATAAACCATCTATCCAGATCAAACCGGTAAAAGCCAGACAAGACGAATATTAAACAAAAACACAGAGGGCGACACCGTCTCTAATCACAGCCGTTCTTCAGCTTCATCGTGGGGTCGAGCATATTTGATTCCGTCTTTACTATAAAGCAGAAAGTTTTTTTTAACTACTTCCCTGGACACAGAGAAATGCTTTAAAAAAAACTGTTGGGCGTTGCCGCCGTAGCACATCATTTTTCATTGGGGCGGGTTGCTTGTTTAATTTGTTTTTTTTTTACAAAAGATAATTATATATTGATCAATAAAATAGATAATTACACTTTGGTGTGCAACCAGACCACAAAATTAAAAGGACGACTCATAGTCGGGTACATATGAAGGGTTTTTCTAGCCACCAAGTTGGCTACCATATTCCTACTCCGACATACAAACCGTACACTAATCCAAGTATACAGCGCCAAACGCTCCACGACTTTAACGAGTAGCGCTCCAATTCGACTATCCCGAGTGATCCCTTGATTGATTTTATCAATAATCACCTTGGCGTCCCCTTCCAGAAGTACCTCCAGGACTCCGGACGCCAGGCACCAAGAAATCGCTTCCCGGCCAGTGAGCATTTCAACAATCAGTGGATCATCAATCCCGACAAACTGGACTCCTTTAGCTAACATGATCTCCCCACTATGATCCATTACAACCAAGCCACCTGCTGAATGAGACCAATGTTTAGTCGCCCCATCCCACCTACAGACCAGCTCGAGCGGGTGTTTGTTTAATTTGAAAAATGAGGGTTTTGGTAAAAAAAATTATTAAATTTACAATAGATTTATTGCATTACGAATTCGAAGAGTTCATTGTTTGCATGATAGATCTGATGATATATTTTATGATGGATTTGTTATAGATATCTAATTGTTATCAAGAGTTTTATGCCTTTCATTAAATTCCAACATAAAATATATGAGATTTACAAGTCTTTAAGGGTTCAAATATAAATTCAAAAAACAGACTAAATTTATGAACCCCACTGGTTTAACACTCATCAATAAACCATAAGTTTGATTATAATTCACCAACCTTGAGATTTGAGTACCAAATTCATAATCCAAATCCGACAAATAAACCACCCTTTTAAGTTTTAATAATCTAAAAAGTCAAAAGTAACTTAAATAATTATGTGGGTCCTCAACTAATGATAGTCATAGATGACCTTTCCATCCACATATAAGGTAATTATTAGCCTTGTTATCCGATGCCATTATTGAACTAGTTTTGGAAAGAGTCATCTCCATACTTTTATATCAACAAAAGGTATTTATTTATTTGCTTCTCAAAAAACCAAATAGTTACAACTACGTTTCTATACCATGTCATATTGTCATTTTTATTCGTTTATAATTATTTCCACTAAAGTGTAAAAAATCACTGTCCCTTCAGAAAAAGTGTAAAAAATTTTACCAAAAAAAAAAAAAAAAGAAAAAGTGTAAAAAATAATCAAGGTAAGGGTAACTACCATGGTTGTCATGCCGGTGGCATGCCACCCGGTTGAACCTGGTTCAACCTGTACCGGTCATGAAACCGGCATGACACCACCGGTATGACCGGTATGATCGACTTATGCATTCTATGTAAAATGACATCATTTTAATGAATTTAATGAATAAAAAAATTAATTTATTATTTATTTTATGAATGTAATAGTTAAAAGTTGGTGATATTTGTAGGATTGTAACTAAATTGTCCACAAATATGTTTTATATATGGTTAAATACATTGGATATTAATTGTTTTCACATATTTTTAAACCGGCATGAACCGGCACAAACTGGTTATACCACTGGTCGTACCATTCCACTTACTAAACCGGCACAACGGTATAAACCGGTTTGACAACCTTGGTAACTACAGAAAAGAAAAGAACGATACAAGACGTGAAGCCTTAAAATTTCAAAATTGGAAAAAGATAGTAATTTCTTGGGACAGCTAAAAATTGAATGCGGAATTTTAAAATTTTCGGCAGACTCCTCCTCGCCTTCCTCTCCCTCTCTCTTTTGAGAGAGCGCCAAACAAAGTCCAAAAGGCGGCACAACAAAGGCAGGACGACAGGACCAGACCAAGCAGCCCCAAAAAACTTCCTTTTCCCCATCCGCACCTCCGGCTCGGATCCTGACCGTCGCCGTCGAGCCCCGAGTTCCCTCTTCCCTGCAACCGATTTTGCTCTCTCTCCTCTCCATGTCATCCTCATCCAGCACCAGCAGGTCACTCCGATCCTCCATCTCGCCGTTCCGCTCCCGCAAGCCTCCTGCTCAGCGTCCCCCCTCGCCGGCTCCGCCGCCGAAGCATGGCGGAAGGCCTTCCACTCCTCCATCGGTTTCTTCTTCTTCTTCTTCTTCGTCCAGGCCTCCCTCGAGGTTGTCCACCTCCACTGCCGGTCCCAGCTCAGCTCCCGCCGGCCAGACTCCTGACCGGCTCGATGCTAACAAGTCCAGGGAAAATGTGACGGTCACGGTCAGGTTTCGGCCGCTCAGGTAGAGAAACAACGCAGAAAATTGAAGAATTGCTTGTTTGGTGTTGACTTTGGGATTATCGTTCTTTGGTTTTACTTAATTTAGGTGTTTGGTGGGGGTGTTTTTTTTTTTGGGTGCAGTGCTAGGGAGCTTGGTAAGGGGGACGAGATAGCTTGGTATGCGGATGGAGACTACACAGTGAGAAATGAGCACAATCATTCAATTGCTTATGGTTTTGGTTAGTACTAACAATTTTATTACATCCCCTATCTTCTAATCTCAGTTTTTCAGTTCTATTTGTGAAATTGGTGCTTTCGAAATGGGGTTTGTTGGAGCTTGCATCCTTGGCTACTATTGTGTTTTGAGTTTCCTAAGTTTCAAACCAGGATGGAGATAAATTATTCGCGGCAAATCCGAATTATCTCTTAGTAAAGTATAGTAGTGTAGATTTTGAACCCTGAAAGTTTCAGCTCATTTATTGCTACTGTAAATGGTACATCCTTCAGGATAAACGTCTTGGAAAGCTATAGTAATGGCAACATATTGATGAGAGCGAAAATGGTTTTGGCTAAGAAATTCAACTTGCTATACGTCTAAATTTTCAAAAACTTGGTCCTCAAAGCTGGTGCATGTACACTGTCTATTTAGCTGTCTTGCAGTTGTTGCGGTAGAGTTTGTGTTTGATTTGGTTGTTTCAGATCATTGACAAGATTCCGAAGCTAAAAAGGTTTGCTCCAGTGTATGTCCTTGTCTTGTAAGATAATGTGACCAATGTATGGAACAATTTGTGCTGACAATGACATTTGGGGGACAGAGGCTTGCTTGAGAGCCAATGCAGTATAAATAGTAACTTGGATAATAATGTGCTGGAAACTTGCCGATATATATCCCATCTGTTCTGGGTCACTTGATCTGCAACTCCTTTATGTTAATACTCTATTATTGCCGATATATTATTGCTTTTCTGGTTTTGTGCAGATAGAGTCTTTGGTCCAGCGACAACAACTCGTCATGTATACGATGTTGCTGCTAGGCAGGTTGTTAGTAGTGCCATGCAGGGTATAAATGGTAATTAGCTTCAACATTACTACTTCAAGTTGTAATTATTTGTTTGTAGCTCTGCGGAAGCCCAAGTTCTGCCTCCTTATTCAGCGGGCAGTTGTAATGCTAATCAGATAGCTTCCCTTGTGACTTTACAAATTTTTTTTTTGGGTTTTTTTGTCGGGAAATTTGTCTTGGGTCTAAGATGTAACCAGTAGTTCAGTACTGCTTGGCCAGGCTGCATGATAAATTTTTTTATAGTTTGATGAATAATTTTGTATGGCAACATTGTAGTGATGCTGGTGAGATGCTGGAATGTGTTTCCATATTCTATCATAGTCGTATTTCTGATGTTTGGGGCAAGGAGTTTGGACTGCTGATTGCAAAAAAGTTTATGATTGTTTGGATGGGAACTCGCAAACATTTTCACTGTGATTCTTGTCAGGAACCAGTTGCTCCCAATAACTCGAGTTGTTGGGAGAGGTTCAATCGTGGATCTTATACCACTCTCTAACACGCCCCCTCAAACGAAAGCCAACCCATGGGCTTGAAGTTTGCACAGGCCCACCATACCATGTGCTTGAAAGACAACGGTTAATATTGGGGGTCGTGGAGATTCGAACACATGACCTTTCGGTTCTAGGCTCTGATACCATGTCAGGAACCAGTTGCTCCCAATAACTCGAGTTGTTGGGAGAGGTTCAATCGTGGATCTTATACCACTCTCTAACAATTCTTTGTTCCGGGATTTTTCTCTTTTAACCCGCCGGAGGTGGCCAAACATTTATTATTCCTTTTGTTTCCATACTCCGTAATAAGATACCGCTACTGAACTTGGGTCTTTTCTGTCATACTGCCCCTCTGTATTGTGATTGTTAAATGACTAACCATGAATAATTGGGATTATCACCTTTCTCCTTTTAGGTACAATTTTTGCTTATGGAGTTACTAGCAGTGGAAAGACTCACACAATGCACGTAAGTGATTGATTATATTGAAACCATCTTGCAATCTTCAGCTATTATATCTACACCAGCGTTTACTGTTTGCCGTAAACCTGTTTTAAATCATGCTTTTCGGTCCTTCCTGATGCTAGCATAGCCATCCATGTAAGCACATTAACTCTATCCCACTACACCAGTATCACCTCCCTGTTTACTACTCTTTATCAGAAGGTACCTATGATATTGTGCTATAAAATGATGCTGAACGTTCTTCATAGTGTCTTCAGTTTAATATTTTGTTTTGTCAGAACCATAGGAACTCATTTGTTTGAGTAATTATTGTATTAGATGGTTTGAGGACTTAATGCTTCACCCAGAACATTGACAACACCACTGGTTTTATTCTATAGTAGAATTAGCCTTTCCAGTTGTCATTTTCATTAGTGGTATTTAAAGGGGGCTGAAACACCTGGTTCTTCCGTGTCTATTATTTAGGTAGATAATTTTTATTATTCAGCCTATAAATGATATGGTGAAATTCTCTGTATTTTAGGGGGAGCAAAAATCACCTGGAGTTATTCCGCTAGCAGTGAAGGATGTTTTTGGGATTATACAAGAGGTAGTGGCTTAGTTAGTAGTCACATTGTTTTTTTTACCCTAATTGATACCAGCTATTGACTAATCTTGGGGTAAATATTTCAGATGCCAGGGAGAGAGTTTCTACTTCGTGTTTCATATTTAGAAATCTATAATGAGGTAAAATACTTCCTTGCAAAATTGATGTATGTCTCTGATATGTTGTTATAATAAAAAGCAAATGCAGTGGAAAGTCTCTTTTGAGATGATGGAAGTTATCATTGTTTCTATGATTGATTGGTCTGTACAATTCTGAATACTCCACAGGTGTACACCTCTGTACGACTTTCTACCTTTCACCATCTTTTCAAAAGGAAGCAGAAGCTTTCCTTGTCTTCAACCATTTGCATCTGTAATTGGAATGGGCTTCAAAACATGGAAATTGTTGTTTTGTTGTCCTTCAGCATTAGTCTTATAATTCATAGGTCTTAAAACGGGATTACTCATTCATATGTTTTGTTGTATACACGTCTACTTTTTCTACGCAGACCCAACAACCACTTCTATAGAGCCCCACATTGTGCCATGATTGGCTTCAGTACAATCAGTTTGGTGATTTATTTTCTATTGCTGTTGGATATATTAAAATATTATGCCAAGTGGATGATTGTATGAAGATTATCGCTATTGTCCATTATTAATTTTCTCTCTCTCTCTCTCTCCCATGGTTGCTTATTAGGTAATCAATGATTTGCTCGACTCAACAGGACAAAACTTAAGAATACGAGAAGATTCACAGGTAATGGTAGCTCTAATATGGAAAGTTCAATGGTGTTGGCTTATGCCCTCAATGTTTCGAACCAGCTAGGTTGCTTGTGACTTAGAGGCCCTAAGATCCTGCTATTTGAGCTGATTGTCTGATCTTGTTTCTATATAATGTAAACTTTGCAGGGAACTTATGTTGAAGGGATAAAAGAAGAAGTTGTCTTATCACCAGCTCATGCTCTATCTTTGGTAGCAACTGGAGAAGGTATTTTCAGCACTACACATTTCTCATCTAGTAAAACGGAACCAAATATTAGTTGGTGTTTCATCATTGTTTTCCATTGAAAATAATATAACTGAAGTTTATACACCATCCTGTTTGTCAAATGATAGGGCATGGCTCTAAACCCTATGTGGAGTTTGAACAACATGTCTGAGAAGATAGTATGTTCTTAGTTTCTCGAGTGCTCATAGTTCTCCACCTCATGGCGTCATTTACAAATTTCTTCTCTCCAGTTCCACTTTTTTGTTGTTGTTGGTGTATGTGCTATTTGCTAAGGTTTTGCGTTTAATGTCTTACCTGTTTTTGGAGTATTATGTAGGCAGTAACAATTCCTTATTGTGCAACCCTACATGTTTATTGCTAGCATGATTTGATCTCTTCTGATATGCCATATGGTTATTTTGTGCAGCGCATAGGCATGTGGGTTCCAATAATATCAATCTTCTAAGCAGTCGAAGCCACACTATATTCACCTTGGTATTTTCAGTTGCATTTATTTGATACTAATTATTTTTTCTTTTTTCAACCGACAATGCTTATAGGTCAAGACAGAACTTGTGGTTCACATTTAGTACCAATGAAAACTTCTGCTTCCAGAAGTTAGATATCTTAGCCCATCTGCATGATTTTAAATGGGGAAGTTAATTGTGGTATTTTATTTCAGACCATCGAAAGCATTCCTAGTAGTGAAAATCAAGGGGGAGAAGATGTCACACTTTCAAGATTGGTACTTTCCAATATCAATTTCTCATCTTTTGATAGTTTTGACTGCAAGTCCTGCTTATTCATTTTCATAACACAATTTTTTACAGCACTTAATCGATCTTGCGGGATCTGAAAGTTCCAAGTCTGAAACAACTGGAATGCGGAGAAAAGAGGGGTCATACATAAATAAAAGCTTGCTTACTCTTGGAACAGTGAGTTGATAATTTTTTTCTTATTCCTTTTGATTTTGATAGTCATTGAAATTCAAAGGAACCTTGACTTGTTAACAGCCGAATAAATAAACATTAAACTGAAGGTTAAGCAAAGAGTAACTTAGAAATAATATGATATAGTCCATTCTCATTACTGTACCATGATCTGGATTGGACCCTGGAGCATACCTTGAAATCATCTTTGGTGTGCAGATAAATCTTTGCTCAACAAGTTGAGCGTTGGTTTTTCCATTAACCATGGATCTTCATGCAAATCAATTAGTTATATGAACACTGAGTTGCACATGCAATAGTGTCGATATTTTGAGGTCTGTCTTATCTTCTTATGCACAGTCTCCCTAAGTTACAAGATTGCTTGTTGTTTCAGGTTATCTCTAAACTGACTGATGGAAAGGCAACCCATGTTCCATTCCGAGATTCAAAGCTCACACGTTTACTGCAGTCATCGCTTAGCGGCCATGGACTAGTTTCTGTAAGCTCCATAGAGCTGCTCTGATTTCCTTATTATGTTGCAGAAAGAACAGCGAAGCTTCGAATTTTTGTTCTTACTAGCTTAATTTCATCTATATCATGTCCATGTATAATTTTCATGTAGCTTATATGCACTGTGACACCGGCCTCTAGCAATAGTGAAGAGACACACAATACCCTTAAGTTTGCCCATCGGACCAAGCATGTGGAGATTAATGCTTCTCAGAATAAGGTGAAAGGTGGTTTTACTTTTAGGTGAATCTTGTCATGCTTGTAACTGTTATTAATTTTGTACAAGCCTTACTTTGCAGATTATTGATGAGAAATCTCTCATAAAGAAGTACCAGAAAGAAATTTCTTCCTTGAAGCAAGAGCTTCACGATTTAAAGCGTGGCATGATGGAGAATCCTCGTACTGCATCAACTACTGAAGAAGATTTGGTTACCTTGAAGCAGCAGGTTTGTGTTGCTGAGTTGCGTCATTTAAGCTTACTATATTTTTTAGCCTTTTTGTAAATTTACATGGTTCTTTCCCTTTACAGTTATCTCTTATGCGAGATTCTGGGCAATTTGTATGAGTAGCTACATCTTTGCTTTTTTATCATAATACCTAGATGTAACTGGATTACTTTGGCTTGAGGCTTATCCTTTTTTTCTTCTTTTTGTGTTGTGAAAGTTGGAAGCCGGCCAGGTCAAGTTACAATCAAGACTAGAAGAAGAGGAACAAGCCAAGGAAGCTCTGATGGGAAGAATTCAACGACTCACTAAACTTATCCTGGTTTCCACAAAGAATTCCATGCAACCAAGTCTACCTGAAAAACCGAGCCACAGAAGAAGGCATTCTTTTGGGGAAGATGAGGTGGACATTGTATTGAGTCAACAAACAATTTCATGAAATTTGCTTAAACCTCATTCACATGGTTTTTACTTGATTCTACAATTGATGCAGCTGGCATATTTACCAGATCGAAAACGAGAGTATATCATCGAGGAAGATGTGGGAAGCTATGGTTCTGAGCTTTCAGCAGGAGGAAAGGATGATATAGCTAGCTTAGATGACTTGGTGAAGGATTATAGAAGGAGCAGGAGAAGGGGAATGCTTGGCTGGTTTAAATTGAAGGTATCTTCTCAACCTAGTTGAATATGCCATACTGTTAATGTCAGACAAATCCACTTTTAAATCTTTTTAGTGCAAAACTGTTCACTGTATAGTTGTGAATGATCTTTATAGCAGAACCACTGCTGTAATGTCTGCTTTACCCTGTATGCAATGTCTAAGGGGAACTGTTTGGCACGAGAATTTCTATGCATCCATTATAAATATCTTCGGTGTCATATTTCATTTTAGTCATTTGAAAACAAAACGAGGTTGTATAGAACTACCAGTTCAACAAAAAACCCTACCAGTCTATCACTCACTTGTAAAAAGATAAGTGGAATTCAGACTGGACTCTGAATGTGCTGGATAATATTATACTTTTCTATAGATCTGTGCTAAACTTCTGAGAAGATGCATCCTTTCTTTGTGTTTCTGGATTTCTGGTATTTCAAGCAGAACCCGTCCTTAAATTGTTGGATCCCTACTAGTTGCTTCAAATGAATGGCAGTATATAGACTCTTACTTCCCACAAGCATGACAATTTATCTGCATCTGTCTTTGCAGAAGCCTGAGTATTCGGTTGGATCATCACTGAGTGCTGACATTGACAGCCCTGAAAGTCTATCACCTGCATCTAGTTATATATCATCTCAGAGTCGAGTAACATTTACTGATATAAAGGATGGACAAAGGAAATCTGTCAGTAGGAAGGATGACAATAATCTTGTTGTCCCATTCCCAGAAAGGACACAGGCTGGTGAACTCTTTAGTGCTACTGTTGGAGGCCGTCACTTACCACCGGTGAGAAACTTCAATCATATTTTCCGAAAGATACGAAGATGCTTCAGCTGTACTTTTTGAGTGTATGTGTGTGTTATTTAGCAAATTTGGTGGGAATCAATCAGTACCTTTCAGGCTTTGCTACTCTATCAGATCATTCATATGCTATATTCTCTTCATTTTGAACCCTTTATGAATCTTTAACAAGCAGGAGATAATAAGTTAGACCTGAAGAACATACCACAGATCATTCCTGAAAGATTCTTCTGTGCGAAGATACATGGATTAGGCGGAAGAAATTGATTTCCCCCTTTCTTGTTTTAGAGATATTCTATAATGGGACGGGGTAGCTGATAGGATCTTTTAGTTGTATCTTTTGCTGAAACATGAATTGTAGGACTGTATGGATGGTTTAAGTCTTTAAGAGTTTGACGTTTTGTGCTGTCTTCAAAGCTATGGACTATGGTTCTGATAGATTTATGATCTCTGAAAAGTTCAGAAGAGAGGATAATGTATACTTAGGGAGGATCCAAGCTGCTGCTTGCGAAGCAGAATGGCCACACATAGTTAGTTAGATTTTGTGATTTCTGTGGTCGACCATCTCTACATGTGCCATTCTGAAATAGGACAATTAATTTTTGGAATCCCATAGTAATTTATTCAAACAACTTTTTTCGTATTTTCTACTTCAATGGGAACGGTACTTTTCTCTTCTACATAATACAAGAACTAGAATGATTATAATGTTGCTGTGCAAGCTGTCTATTATCTATTTTATCATTAGTTATTTTGAAGGTAAGTGCAGTTATGCTGAAGTTGTTACTCAAATGATGTTCCATGTGCTCTGCAGACTGGTACCACCATCACAGATCAAATGGATCTACTTAGGGAGCAGGTGAAAATGTTGGCTGGGGAGGTGGCCTTATCAACTAGTTCCCTGAAAAGATTGTCAGAGCAAGTTGCTTCTCATCCTGACGATTTACAACTTAAGGTTGATATTTCAATGGCCTTCTGTTTACCATTCACTGATTATGTCAAATAAGTTCTTATACCTGACCTCTACTGTGGCTTTTTTGGCGAAAATTTGTCCTTAGGATCAAATGCAGAAATTGAAAGGCGAAATTATTGAAAAGAGGCATCAGATGCTAATTCTCGAGCAACGTATGATTGGGTCAATTGGGATGACCATGCCTAACAGCAACGAATTATCGGAGGTAACTCATTTTGTACAAACAGGTTTGACGAAAGAAAAATACACGAATGGTAGTTGAATCCCAAGAATCGGTATGAATATAAAATAGGATAAAATGGCAAATCTTACCGGTTTTTGGAAAACAAAGCCTGATCTCTGGTCGGTTTAGTTGATGAGGTAGCAAAATCTTACTGCAACTGCTACGATAGAAGTATCAAAGACAACTGAAAAAAATACTGGCAACTGTCTTGCCAAACTTCTTTTCCCCTTTTCTAAGGTAGCATTGCATTTTGTTTGACTGACTAATAAATGCCTAGTCCTTTGACTACATTGCTCCCATTTATGCAGGCTTTATCCAAGGTGACAACTCAGCTCAATGAAAAAATGTTTGAACTTGAGGTATGCTATGCTTGATTGATTACTGTGATAGCAATGTAAATTGCCAAAAAGATAAAGAAGAATGTTGAACCAAATTGATTCTTGAGTAATCTGGATGAGTGCAGGTTAAGTCAGCCGACAATAGAATACTTCAGGAACAACTGCAGCTGAAGGTAAATAATCTTACCGCTGTACTCTTTACCCCATCCTAAAGACGACATAACTTTATTTTGATCAATCGATTTTGGTAACAGGCATCAGAGAATACCGAACTGCACGAAACAGTACTTTTGCTAAGGCAACAACTAAGCTCTTTGTCAGATAAGCAGTCAAGCCATCAGCAGCCTGCAGAATCATACGAAGAAAGTTATATCAATGAAAGCACACCAAAGAGTGTAATGAGCCTGAATCGAGTGTTTTTGCAAGAAGAATCTAGACATTTCAATAGTTCTCAGGGTCTCATACAGGTTGGTATGGTACTCCTTTGTTTTAGGTTGTGTTTGTTTCAGTTTTTGTTACAAAATGAGTAACTTCGTAACAAACATTTTAAGAATCTGTGGGATCCACCTTGAATAGATTGCACTTCAATTTCTTTTGGCTCATTCAACCACTTTGGCTTCTTGTTTTGTTAGGCTGCCGAAATAGACAACCTGAAGCAGGAGAAGATGAGGCTTGTTGAAGAGAAAGAAGGTCTCAAAATCCAGTGTCAGAAACTTGCAGAGGAAGCTGTATACGCAAAAGAACTGGCTGCTGCTGCCGGAGTTGAGCTCCGAAACCTAGCTGAGGAAGTGACAAAGCTTTCGTATCAAAATGCTCAGCTGGCGACTGAGCTGGCTGATGCTAAAGAGGCTATCCTCCGAAGATCTACCACTTCTAGGGCTACTGATTTTAAGCTGAATGCCTCAAAGCTGAGAAAGTCAGTCCCTATTAATACTGAGGACTTAAGATTACCTGGACGTGAAAATGAGTACCCACTCTGTAATGGCCACTCCCATAAACCATCTGAACGTGACAACTTCACCAACATGGATGCGGTAAATAGCTCGGAATTGTTGAAAGAACGAAAAAAATGCAAGGAGCTGGAGCGTCTTGTATCAAAGCTAAAGGTACGTGCTATAAATCCTTTTCAGTTTTCACAATGGATTATATGGACAGTCAGTCTAAGAACACGAACTAGTTTTTGTGAGAATGAGTTCTTTGACAGTAGTATAATTGGTTATTCACTATCAGGGAGATGATATAAAAAGTCTCGACCCATCTGCACTAGATGAGCTTCAGACTTTTCACCTTGAAGCCATAACCAAAATCTGTCATGCCAAGGTAACTGATCCCTGATTTCTTTTGCTTTCTGCTGCCAGCAGGAAAACAGAATTCTGATGAGCTTTATTCATGTTGTTTTTCTGACAGTGTACAACTCAGGATTCGTAACATCTCAAGTTGACTGCTTTTCTTACAGCGAGTGACTTGTAAGGTTAGTTCAATATATATTTGATATAATCCTATGAGAAGAAAATTCCACATTTGTTCCCTTGATCTAATCAACTACTGTATTCAATGTAGGTCTGTCTCCCAATCATAATCCACGGTTTCTGTACATGCAAAACGGTAACGAAACAGATTCTGACCTCTTCCTTCCGGCGCAAGAAACTGTAACCATTATTTCTTCATCTCTAGGGTAACCGACTACTCCCGGTAGTCACTAATATGGGGTTTCTATGTATCGATCAACCAAAACGAGTCCGGTAGCAGCAGTCCCTTGTATGTTGTAGACAGTATGGGTACACCCTTCACTCTTTTCCCTTTTCCTGGGATGGACACTGGGTACCAGAAATGTACTCATTTGCATATAGTTATGCATCTCTATGATGCCCATTTCCATGGATGGGCAGTTCAACTATACAACAACAGAAGACGTTATGAAAGATGCTGAACATCGCGACAAAAATCGCAGGGTAATGTTCACTTTCGACCATGCTGTTCGCAAACCGCACGAGGCAGAAAACCTACTCGTGGGAGTTTTCTGCCATTGTAATTGCACCAATTATGGTAAGAATCGACTGTGGTTTGATTAGGGTATAATACGGTTTTCAGGACTTGCGAAGCTTGTTGCAGTTCGAAGGAATCCACCTGATTTGCTGCTTCTTGTTGTCATAGATCACCAATTTGTCTTGCAAAAAAATGTCTGTAAACAGGCAGGAGAAAGTAAATAAGTATGTAGTAAAAAAAAGGTCATACTGTGAATGCTTTTCTGATTAAGAAACAGTTTAACAAAACATCTTTACCACCAACCACATTGAAGTTCCCCAATCCGACTTAGCTACCATTTTACATTTCTGTCTTACTTAAAGTAGAGAGTGTACCAGCATATTGTTTTGTGAGGGTTTATGGGACCAGAGTTTTTTTTGTTTCTAATTTTTCTCCCCTTATCTCTCGTGAAAAGAAAAATATCATGTCAAACAGAGTTGATAGTAATTAAGAATGAAGGACCAATCAAGTAAGTACTAAGTACAAAATCTGATGTGGAGTGAGAGTGGAGGTAGCTTGCATTTGGGTGCTGGCAGGGGGTGTGCAACATTTGGTCCGTATCGAACCAAATCGACGATTGGATCGGATCAATGGCTAACCGAATATAATATAACAAAATTTTTGGTCTCATAAATTTTAAAAATACGAAAAAAATAGAGCGAAAATGACATTTTGAACCGGATCAAATGTACTGTTGGTCCGATTCTTAAATTTTAAAATATTTTTGTCATAACAGGGTCTGCTCAATTAGTACGATATTGTCCGCTTTGGGCCAAGCCCGCACGGTTTTACTCTTGGGTGTCCTCCCCAAAAGGCCTCGTACTAATTTGGCAGGTGGACACTAACATACAATGGTTCATTCCCTTGTATTATCGATGTGGTACTTGGATTGGCCCATAACAATCCACCCCTCAAGACAAGGTCCTCACCTCAGCGATTATCTTGATCCGCCAGACACCTTGTATCGATGGGTTTCTCAGTTCAAATCCGCCAAACAGACGTGGATCGCAAATCCCGAGGCCACCAAATGAGGGTCCCACCAAACTGACGTCCACCGCCCCGAACCGAACCAGACTCTGATACCACTTGTCAAACCGGGGTGCTCAATTAGTACGATATTGTCCGTTTTGGGCCATGCCCTCACGGTTTTACTCTTGGGTGTCCTCCCCAAAAGGCCTCGTACTAATTTGGCAGGTGGACACTAACATACAATGGTTCATTCCCTTGTATTATCGATGTGGTACTTGGATTGTCCCATAACAATCCACCCCTCAAGACAAGGTCCTCACCTCAGCGATTATCTTGATCCGCCAGACACCTTGTATCGATGGGTTTCTCAGTTCAGATCCGCCAAACAGACGTGGATCGCAAATCCCGAGGCCACCAAATGAGGGTCCCACCAAACTGACGTCCATCGCCCCGAACAGAACCAGACTCTGATACCACTTGTCAAACCGGGGTGCTCAATTAGTACGATATTGTCCGTTTTGGGCCATGCCCTCACGGTTTTTACTCTTGGGTGTCCTTCCCAAAAGGCCTCGTACTAATTTGGCAGGTGGACGCTAATATACAATGGTTCATTCCTTTGTATTACCGATGTGGTACTTGGATTGTCTCATAACAATTTTTTTTTATTATTGAACCCCGATTTTCATTAGTTTGATCCGTTCCGCACCCAACCGAAACGTAGCATACCCCTTGGCGGTTGGCGCTGTTGGGAGCGGGAATTCGGCACGGCTACAGCCTACACACTAGTTTGGTCTCGTAACGGACGCCGACGTGCCGTGCGGAGCGATAATATGCGCCGTAAATGGACCCTCCTAATTCTTTTGTCTCCTTCGTTCCTTGCCTTGGGAAATGGCAAGGGCGTTGTTTTTATTAATTGAAGTGATGAGTTTGTTACAGCCGATGTCATGGCATGGTTTATCGTTTTCTCTTTTATTTCCCTTGTTTCATGAACTGACAGACGTTTTCCCCCCTTCACTGATCTTCAAAAAAGGAGCTTTTGCCGTCTGGAAGAGGCCCCGAAATTTGACTTCTAGCTAGCTAGCTAGCTAGCGTTCGGAAATTGGAGGAGTAATTAACAGCTAATAACATTTTGTAATTAGACACCCAATTAATTAAAACTGTACATGTTTATTGGCAACCAGGGGGAGTAGTTAACAGAAATTAATCAAATAAATGAGAAACCAAGAAAGGAAGGAAGGGTGGACGGGAATAAACGCGCGCGGGGACAATAAGAACAAATACTCGCATCGCCCGGTAATAAAAACAGGTTTGTTTGAGTGTTATAGTAACAATTAAGATTAAACAAAAGGAAGAGTGGGATAATTAGTTACTTAAGTAGGTTGGTTAGGATTAGAGAGCTCTCTTCTTTCTCTGTTGTTTTCTTCATTCATTCGTTTGGAGGGTGAACGCCTCTCCCTCTTAGCTTCCTCTCTCTCTCTCACTCTCTAAGGAAAAGGAAAGAGGGAAGTTGGGAGAGAATGGCGACGGCGGGGGTGATAGTAGGAATGGTGGTGATGGCGGCGGCGATGATGATCGGGATAGGGGCGGTGGTGGACGTGGCCGTCGACGACGTCGGAGTACATCATCATCCAGCAGACATGCGCAATTCTGCCAACTATACTTCAGCTGCTATTCCGGCGAAGAATGGTGGCGGAGTGAGTTATGATGGAAGGTCTGTAACAATCAACGGCCAGCATCGCATCCTTTTCTCCGGCTCCATCCATTACCCTCGCAGCACTCCTCAGGTAATTAGCACTTCACTACTACTACTACAACACATTTCTTTCAAATCCGCTTGTAAACCAGTTTGTTTTATAACATGATATCAGACCCGATTTGTCTCTGAGGTGACGAAAACCAAAGTGGTATACATAGCACTGATCCGATCATGGTGGTTGACAGCGATGAAGTAATCACCGTTAGAAGAAAAAAAAGTTGTTTGATCTGTCTCTCCTGCCGGAGTTAACCTTCTAGCTCTCCTCCTTTCTGCCGTTTCTTGTCTTTATATGAACACGAAGAAAGCAGACGTACGTACGTAAAACTAATTAGTGCAACGTACTTTCCCTTAATTTGTTAGTAATAACAATAATGATAAATACTCCATAACCAGACGTTTCGGGTAGTTAAGCAACTTGTTAACATTTATTTATTTGTAACTTGAGGACAAAAGGATCAAAAAGAGGAAATCAGTCAAGTTCTAGACAAATTAAACCAATAAAATAATATTAAAATTTTAATCATATTGATTACTTAATAATCCATAAAACGTGTCAGATGTGGCCATCGTTGATCTCAAAGGCAAAAGAAGGAGGGTTGGATGTTATACAAACTTACGTATTTTGGAACTTGCATGAACCTCGACAAGGACAGGTCAGTGAGTCAGTCACTCACGTATTCTGGAACTTGCTCCTTCACCTTGTTGCTCATACTCTGTCTGCACTCTGTTTTCTTCCTTTCTTTCTTTCCATGGACAACAGTTCGATTTCAGTGGAAGAGCAGACATAGTGAGATTCATCAAGGAAATCCACGCTCAGGGACTCTACGTCACACTTCGAATCGGGCCTTTCATCGAATCCGAATGGACTTATGGGTAAGGTTATGCATTTTTCCTAGGGATGATTTTAAAATCACAGTTCGACGATCGACTCATTTGCTTCCAACAAAATTTATGCAGGGGACTGCCCTTTTGGTTGCACGACGTTCCCGGCATTGTCTTCCGTTCAGATAACCAACCATTCAAGGTTAGCTGTAGCTCACAAACGTACACTCTGCTAAAACCAAACAATGAAACAAACAACACCATCATTCGTGCATATGGATCGTCCTCGTAGGATCACATGCAAAAGTTCGCGGCGAAAATAGTCAGCATGATGAAATCGGAGAATCTGTACGCTTCACAAGGCGGCCCCATCATACTATCACAGATTGAGAACGAGTACCAGACGATTGAATCGGATTTCGGTGACAAGGGACCTTCGTATGTTCGTTGGGCTGCAGCCATGGCAGTTCGACTTCAAACTGGGGTTCCCTGGCTTATGTGCAAGCAAGATGATGCACCTGATCCTGTGGTTAGTTCTTCATAACAATTCCTTTTTGTCGGAATGTACTCTGGATGAAAGCTACCCCTGCTTGATTCAAGGTCCTGCATATACAAATTGTACAGCTTCTAATATAATTCAATGTTCATTGCATGATGCTGAATTTATAGTACAAAATGAGAAACTCTTCTGTTTCAGATTAACACATGCAATGGATATAGATGTGGGCAGACATTCAAAGGACCTAACTCCCCAAATAAGCCATCCGTGTGGACCGAAAACTGGACAAGTTTGTAAGTTCTATGCAAATGTACAGCTTTCTTGGGCTGTTCTACCATCTCACCATTCAAACATGTAGCTCTAGCAGGTCATTGATCCAAACTAACGTTTTTTCTTCTGTTCCACTGAAGCTTGCAAGTATACGGCAATGAAACGAAAAAAAGATCAGCCCAAGATATCGCATTTCATGTTGCCCTATTCATAGCCAAGAATGGAAGTTATGTAAACTATTACATGGTACGAAAATCTCATATCTTATCGATGTTTACTTGTCAAACACTTTACATTTGATTATACTGGGAAAGAATCACTTCACAGTTGTAACTAATTCAGTCCTAACATGAAAATATTGACTGCTAGTAGTACCATGGAGGAACAAATTTTGGAAGAACTGCTGCTGCTTTTGTAACGACGAGTTACTATGATGAAGCACCTATAGATGAATACGGTATGTATCTAAGTTCCCTTTACCTACCAAAATCACTACTAAGGTCCTTTCAGATGAGAAAAAGAAATCAACTTCTATGCCTGGTGGTGTTTAGGTTTAATCAGACAGCCGAAATGGGGTCATCTTAAGGAATTACATGCCACAATAAAATCCTGCTCCCAGACTTTGCTTACTGCGGTGCAACAAACATTTTCTTTGGGACAACATCAGAAAGTAAGGAAAAACATAGAGCTCCTAAACTATGTGACAGAAAAAGTCTGTTG